ACCGCCCGGCGATCGATATTGCTATGCGCACATCTCGCCACGCGCTCGAATTGGGCGGTAGGCCGGCCTAAGACAACGATTTTTAATAATTAATTACTCGTTAACTATTACGAAAATTGCAAAATGGTACAGGACTTTTCCGTTTATCTCGATCCGTTCTACCTTCTCAAAAATTTTGTCGGATATGGAAAGACTCACCCTGTATATCACGACATAAATTGAATAAATAATCGAATGCATAAAGAAAACAAGAGTAAACGGTAAACAAATTATCAATTTTGATGTCGTAAGTGCATTTGGAATTTATTGCTGTCGAGATACATCACTTCTAAATTTTTAGTTAACTGGTTGTTTTAACAAAACAGGCCAGATAATGTGTCAATGTTCCAACGTAAGAGGGGAGAATCTTCATTTCTTAGGTGAGCGAAATATGTGATCTCCCTGATTTCTTTACGACGCGACGGTCGAACAATTACAAGTGAAGCGATGTTATTTAGCTGCTAAGCAAATTCGAACTGTCAATATTTACGTTCTAATGAAGATTCACGCGTCACTTGTTACGAATACTAATCGCAATTTGCTGGATTAACAAATTATCCCGAGCAGAAATTTTAGTAGGGTTCAGTCAGCCCTGACAGGGCCCTTTGTTGTTCCTTACAGTTTTTAATATGGGGTGGGGTATCAATAGGCTTCCTATTAAAAAATTCACTTTGTAACTAATTGTTAAATTGTGTTAAATTGTGTTAAATCACATAGTCATCAAAAGTATATTCAGGTTATTGAGGTCTATCCATGATCCAGACAACTCGCTCTCGCATCATATCGGCTCGCCTTTTATACTAATACGGGACGATTTTTACTTACGAGAAAGACGCGCGGTCGCCACGTCGCGGCAGTATGTGGTACTAGTGCTATCTATTCAGAAGGGAATCAGGCGTATCGAGATTTCGTTGTGACAGCAAATGTATTTGCTAAGAATATATTATTTTGCTTCAGTAGCAAATTTATGTGATTGTAATTACAAATACACTCAGCAAATTTTGTTCTATTCTCGCAACAAAATAGATTTTGCTATAATGACGAATAATTCGTAAAATTAGTTCTATCAACTAAATTTTATTGCTATTACTACGAATATGCAGTAGCAACGGCGATTTTGCTATCACAGGAAAATTATTTTTTTCCGTGTATACGTTCCAAAGTACTGTGCGGACGTGATGGCAGAGCCAAGGGAAAATACGCTAAAGAGGTGGTTATGGCAGTATTATATAGTAAATTGGAACGTTATGCTCGGAGATGCAATAGTTGCCATAAATTTGTTGATAGTTCTAGATACGAAATACACTTACATCGCACCCATAAAATATTTCATGAAAAAGAAATTGTTCGTCGTATCGGCTTGGTATATCGATATTTCGTAGAAGAGGGAGACGTCTTAAAATGTAAGATTTGCAATAAATTGCTTGTGAAAGCGAGTAGAGAGTGCGTCTTGGAGATACACCTGATACGTTGCCATCCGTCAGTAATAGAAGAAATACATAAAGAATTCAAATCTATGTGGGTATGGCCACACTTCGACACATCGAAGTATCAGACGTCTTGCAAGATGTGCCATAAAATGTTTAACATATTTAAAGTAAATCTCGTACCGCAGCACTTGCTCAATAATCATGGCATAAACGAAAGAATTCAAGAAAGTACTGGACGAAACAATGTAATTACAACAATAAAGCAATCAACTGAAGAAAATAGCGCTGGTACCGCCGTAAAACCTGTATATTCACAGGTTAAAGAAATTCAAAAAATCGAAAATGGTAAATGTTACGAATATTGTATTTTATTTTCCTCCAGTCGTATATTTACTTATATGCAACAAAGTCGTAAAAAGTTGGATATTTACTTATCGTAAGAAATATTTAAAATGTTTTTATAAATATTATAAAAATTGGAGACAAATAATTCTATTTAGTCGATATCAAGAGTTTTAAATTTACTATTTAAATGTTCAATGACTGATGGAAATTTTCATATTCGGATTATTCTCTACTTAAAGTAGTGTTTCGATTAATATCGAATAGTGTGAGGTCTTGTTTCGGTTCAGTAATAAATAGTGTGATAAAATTTGAGGATTAATTAAACACAAGTACACATTTTATTGTTCTTTTAACTTATTAATTGTGCTTTGTGTGCATATGCAGATTCAATTGCAACGTATATGGTTTATAGCAGAGTTTTGAATTTTAATGAATTCTGAAACAATACATTAAAAGTAGCCCCAGCGGTCCTAATATCTTAAATGAGCCGTAATTGGTGAATGAACTGACGCATTTGACGCCTTTAACAGGTTGATTAGATATCAACCTTTTCACATATAATTTACTAATCGTTTTATTAAATCATATTTATTTTTTATTGATTTTACACGTTC